GAAGATGCTTATTAATAAATAAATAAAGAAATAAATAATTATAAATAAAATATATAAATATAATAATATACTAGCTAAATTAGTAGACTAAGAAAAAAGAGAAATTCTACTAAGAAAATTATCTATAGCTAAAATAATTCAAATATACTATATAACTTTCTTGGCAAGATAAGATAATTTTTGTAATGTAGTATTATATATAACACAATATGTAATATAAGCAATGATCTATAAATAATATATAAAATATATATAATTTATTATAAATTACTTTTTATTTCAATATTTTTTAAAATTTTTTTTTTATTTTTTTAATAAAATCTTAATAAATTAAATAATAATAATATTATTATAATATAGATTTTTAATTTTATTAAGAATAATTTTTATTTTTATATTAAAATAAAGTTTATTAGTCATAATTTAATATAATTTTTTTCAAACTTTTTAGATTTTTTCTAAAAGAGTTATTTTAGTTAAAAAAATTAGTATAAAAATTTTTATTAATTAAATTTTATTTTTAATTATATAATAAAATTTTTGTCTTAACTATATAATTAGAATAATTTTCATAAAAAAATCTGAAAAAAATATATGTTAAACTATATAAGCTTTATTTTAATATTAAAATAAAAATTATTTCTTAATAAAATTATAAATTTTAATATATAAAAAAATTTTAATTTTTATTATATTTTATTAATAAATTTAGTATTTAAGTTATTATTTTTGATTATTATTATATATAATAATTATTTATTTATCTTTAAAAAATTAAAAGAATTTAATTTTGATATCTAAAAGAAATTTTAATTAAATTATATTAAAAATTTCTTAAATAAATTATATTAATATTTATTTTTATAAAATATATAATAATTATTATAATAAAAATATTATATTTAATTTTTAATTTTTTACATTTTAATTATTTATATAAAGTCTCTTTTTCAAATATTTTATAAAATTTTTATAGTATAATATATAATATATATTTTATCTATAATTTTAATAAAGTTTAAATTTTAATTTTATATAATAAATAATTATTTTCAATTAAAAATATAAAAAGAAAAGCTAAGATAATAATATAATAAAAGATTTTTATTATATTAATAAAAGAGAAAAAAGTTATATTTTAAGAAAGTAATTCTTATAAGTATTATTTTATATATATTAATATAAAATATATATTAAATATATATTATATAATATATAATTATTATAAAACTAATTTTTCTTCTTCAGATAAGATTTTTATTATATTTTAACTAACTAAATATTTTAATTATATGAAAAATAAGATTTTTGAAATTCTTTCTTTCTTTCCTTTCTTAATAATATATATATATTTTCTAAATATTTTAATTATATAAGTCTTTATTTATAAGTATTCTAAAATAAATTTTTAATATAATTATTATTTTAAATTTTATTATTATTTTTTTATAAACTATAATTTTATATTAATTATTATTAACTTAATAGTATAATTAGAAAAAATATTTACTTATTACTAAAAATTAAAATAAATTTAATAAATCATTTAAATATTATAATTAATTTAATTTAAATTTTAATTAAATTCAATTATTATTATTTTATAATTTATTTTATTAATTAAATTATTTTATTAAAATTTAAAAAAATAAATTAATAATTAAATTTTTAATAATTTTATAATATTATTTTATTTAAATTTCAAAAAATTTATAATTATATATTAATAATTAAATTTTTAATATTTTTATTTTATATTAATAATTTTTATTTTATATTAATAATTTTTATTTTTTTTTAATATTTTTATATTAATTTTAATATATTTTTAAATTTTAATATTTATATTATTATTAATATATTCTAAATTATAAATAAAATGAATTAAAAATAAGTTCAAATATAACTAATTATTTATATATAATTATTAAAACTAATATATATAGTTATATCTATTTATATAAAAATAAACTCTCTATAAAAATAGTTTTTTGAGAACTAATAACTTAATATATTTATTAAAAATCATCTTTATATAAGAATAAACCCTACAAGAATAAATTTTATAAGAATAAACTCTTTATAAGAATTAGATTTCTGATCTGATTATATTTTTATGAAAAATATGTTATATTTTATAATTAATTCATCTTAATTAATATTTTAGTGTTAAAATAATATTAAATAGTATTAAAATATATCAAATAATATTAAAATTATGTAAATTAAGTAAGTAAAAGTGATTATTAAAAGTAAGAAATTAAAAAAATTGATTTATAGAATTATAAATCTAGAATATTTACAAAATTATATATAATTTATATAATCTAAAAAACTAAAAAAATTAAGAAGTTAAGAAATTAAATACTATTTATAATAATAGGTGAGATATATTCCAGTTGCTATTCAAAATAAAAATAATTATTATTAATATATTAAAAAATTTATTTATTAATTGCAAAATAAATAATTGCAATATTTTGGATAAGTTTACATTTATTATGATTTCTTTTTTATAACTTAAAAAATTTCAGGCAGATACATGAAATCTTCAAATTAATAAATGAGTGATGACAACATTTTAAAAAAGTTTGTGCTTGTCATGATTGCTTTTTTTAATTAATTTTTTACTTGAAATTTCTTAATTATGTCATTATTAACTGAGGTTTCTAGTGATTCCATATGCACTCTATATAGCTCAATCTATAATTCAAAATTTGATTATACATGCTTTAGTATTAGTTTATGAATTGATCCAAAACCGTTTTTGGCAAGAATTTTAATTGTAATATCTTTAAATCTTTCGAAAGGGATCCAATGGAAAAAAGAGAATTTATAATCTTTAATGCAGTCTCTTATTATAATATATATATTAATTATGTCAAATTTTACTAAAATTCCTAAATATGATAAAAAGAGAAAAATATTGCACTTGTGTTCTCAAAAGTGTTCATCGAGAACATCAACACTACTCGAAAGAAATTAAAAATTGTTCATGTGCAAGTACGTGACAACTATGACAATAATTAAAAAAACAAAAATAATTACTGCAGTTTATCTTAATGATGGTCTTCACAGTATCACATTATATTACATGTACATGTATTGTCTAAATCTTACAAAGAAATGTAATATCAGATTGTTCGGTATCATGTTCACGCATGCGTAATAACACGACATCTCTACTAATCAAAGAATAACCATAGAACTTACAAATAAAGAAATAAAACAAAGTTTTACACGATTAAATAAAGAAAAGTTCAGAATTATATTAGTACATATGTACAGTACATGTATTTCCTAAATACATGTACATGTATCTCAATTTTTCATTAAACAAGTTTTGTACATGTTCAATGTAATACACACAAAAGCGTTTTAAACTATATTTAGAATAATTATAATACATGTATTCAAGATGCAACAAACGAGGAAATTAACGACTATGAGCGCGTGGAATAAAAATTTCTATAAATCTTTGTCTTCTTTATCAGTATTGTATTCACTTTCGCCAATGGGTTCGACAAAATTCTATTCAATTTAAGGATTACGTAATTTAACAGGTGATGTTGCATTCACAATCAAATGCCCAACAAACGAACCCGAATGATCGGCATCCCGTAATTTTGGTATTCCATGCGGGTTCGTTACTTCGGGATGCCGTTCTATCGGGATTTCGAAGCCGATCATTTGAATTTCGAGATTTCTGCAATCACTGAATCATCATAATTAAATCAAGCTCAATTTAGTACATATATTAATATATTAAGCTACGACGTCTTGAATTTTATTGCCGGTTAATCATTATAAGTTCTTTGTCGTAGAAAATGACATATGAGTGTAAAGTAAACGTTTAGTTTTTAAATAAATACATAAACACTCAAATGGTAATAATTAAAATTGAAGAGGTATTTATAAGCTAATAGAATAATTCGTTACGAAAATATTGTTGAAATTAAGAAGAATGCAAGAATGCAGTGCATACAACTTAGTACCAACCCTATGAAAAATCTTGATCTGTAAACCCCTATAACCACCTTGTGATTTTTGCAGATGATACGGAGATCCTGTAAAATCCCTGTGGCTACACACTC